GACTGCCGATAAAGTCGCGGTCGACCATGGCTAATGACAGAAACCAAAAATCAATTAAAGGGTTTGGCAGTCGGACACGGCGATCGACCGGCCAGAGTGTAGAAACATACATTGTACTCGTGCACGTTTCCGATCGACCGCCAAAGTCATTGCGGTAGACCGTACGGCCTCCAAAATGTTCCCTTCGTCAATTTGCCTAAACTTCATCGTCGTCGTTCTCGTTTCTACAATTCTCCATCTCGGTGAAGTTTTCCCAAAACTGAGCCGATAGCAACCAAATCAAACGTCTTACTCGTTACGTCCAGTACGAAGTGGCATAATCCATGACAACGGACACAATCCACAATAAGTCGAGAGCCCAAATAAGAATGCGAACAAACTCTAAAATGTCGGTATCAACTCATCAAATCCGTTGCATCAAAATGACTACCTACGTATCCTCTTGTCCAAGGAATCAAGCCTCACATAGTTCATCCAAATGGCCGCAAATGACCTCAATCAACTAGAAGAATTCTCAATCCTTCACCAACCTTTCGATCATCAACACTAACCAATCTGTAGCTGATCACGCCCTTGTTGACCTCAAAGTGAAAAGACAAACTCTCTTCCAAACTTACATCACTTCCCACCAACTCTGTCTTGGAGCTTAACCCCTCAACTCTATATGTAGAAGAAATACAATTACTAATCATAGCCAAATCTGAGTCGTGTCCACCCGTTGCACTTGAATCTGATCCTGAACCTCCGGTTCCCGATCCTCAAACTCATCATCTGTATCAACATCAACTATCTGATCCCAAAACTGTGTCACTTCAGCTGGAATCCCAAACAATATAGAATGATCTGGAGAACAAGGAGTAATCTCCATTAAACATGAAGTGGCATCACTCTCCACCCGCTATGATACATCTATGATCTATCCAAAACTCTTCACCTGCTGAGAGTCAATAGGCTCCATCATCGAAGCCTCATCAAAAGTGACACTACCAGACCAACTATCCATTGGAATTTTACCTCCAATTATAGCAGACGACAACCTGTAAATAAGATGGCTCGAATATGTCAAAACCTCAGCCCAAAACCTCTTCTGCAACCTTTTGCTCGACAACAAACATCGTTCCTTCTCCATCAAGGTACGGTTCTTCAAATTTTCCACCCCATCTAGTTGCCTTAAGATTTCCCTTCCATCGAAGTGTCTCAAAATACCCTGAGCACGACACAAATACAGAAATGGTTCCTTCTTATACTTCCTACCAAAATTAGAATGGAGTACTTTGCCTTTTGTCTATCTTAGTCTCTATATACTTCTTCCACTAGTTGAAGACTAAGACTTTACTCAAATGGGACTTGGTTGCAATCTAAACATGCCTAGAACAGTCATTAATAAAGGAAACCATATATCTATTACCTCCTAATGATGCCTCCTTGAAGGCCCCCAAACGCCCACGTGAACTCCATCTAGAAGGCCCTTAGCTCGGTGAATAGAGGTGCCAAACTTTACCTCGATCTTCTTACTCACATAAAAATATTCAGTAGACTTCAAACTGCAGGTCAGTGTACCTTTCTCCAAATCAATACTGGAATAGCTCGACCTTAAATGCCCTAGTCTAGTCGAATCAATAGAAGTCGTCAGCTCTTCACCTGTCACCATACTTCCAGTTAAGTAGCACAAGTTACTCCTCCTGACGCCCTTCATCATAATACGAGAGCCTCTCATAATCTCGAGAACCAAGTCCTCAATACGAACTTTCAGACCCTCTCCAGCTAAAGCTCTAATCAAGATCAGGTTCTTCCTTAAGGAATATCTCACACCATGTAACTCTCTAACTATCCCATCATACATCTCGATGCAAATTTTACCTATCCCAAGGATCTGGCATGCACAGTTATCACCTATGTACACCATACCACTATCCAACTTCTCAAAACTGGAAAACCATTCCCTTTTAAGGCACACATGATAGGTTGAACCACTATCTAACATCCACTTGGATTCCTCCGAATAGCAACATGTAGGACTAATAAAGAACGAAAAAAATAGATGAATCAGAAATATTACCATCCGATTCGACGATGTTTTCTTTTGATGATGGTTGTTTCCCTTTTCCCTTCTGCTTGTTCTTCATCCATTCGCTGAGCTTTAGACAATCTTTCTTCCAATGGTCAGTCTCCTTACACTAAGCACACTGATCTTTGCTAATTGTAGAATGCTCTACTCTAGACTATGACTTCTA